TTTAATTGTGTGCACAGGCTCGTCTATCTCATCCAGGTAATTAGAATCCATGGGCCTCTTGTCCTTTGAGGTGCCTTTCTTCACCTGTTTGGCCTTTGCCCTTTCCTCCTCTGTCAGGTCATCCGTCTCCAGGAAGAATGTGGGGCTGCTGTCTTTTGATTTACTCATAGTGATGTCTTCTTAGTCATACAGCAGAAGATAAAGCCTGCAAACAGTGTAAAAGTGATATCATTCACAGATACAGGGCATTAGGTTTACATTTCATACAAATAAGGTCTAGGAAATATGAGTCTGACCACAATTATCGATTTTACTTTCATACATAAATGGGACATTCTGACACTAGCTAGCTTTAAAATTAGGAATTGTGCGTTGATGATAATTCACTAAATGTTTCTTCCTTTGTGACCAGTCAAATTGATTTGTGATATAATGTAGACTAAGAGCTGCTTTTTTAAGAGTAGAAGCTGCTTCAGTGTTATAAAGGATCATCACATTGTCTTCTCATTTTAAAAACCATTAAAAGAGGAAGGGTCACAAATGATCTAAATGGAAACTCTGTGACATGAAGTTGAAGGAAATGCAGAACTACTGCTGTATCTCTCTTCATAAAAGCAGCTAGAATAATTATGGAGATGTGATGATATGTAGTTCTGATCATAAGACCACATATATAGGCCTATATAACCCATCTAATGGATCTGTGGTTATTTTTGGTACACAACAAATCCATTCTTAATGTAAAAACATGGATTCATTTAAAAGTCAAAATACTGTAATAGGTATTCAAAGATACAGAAGATAGAGAAACAAACAAAAATATATGCAGGTTCAGTTTGTATGTGTAAATAGAGATGGTGGAAATCGCTGCATGCTCTCCTAGAACCTTGCTAACTGAATTATTGATATCTCTTCATGCTGTTACATGCTATATGATCCCATCCAGGGAATGGGTCATGATTGTCCCATCAAGGAAATCTTTCCCTGAGAATACATGGAAATGCATTTCTGACTAAGTGCAGTAACTAATGCACTGGATATTCTGTACTGTAGAATATTATAACTTAGCCTCTTTGTAAATGACTTCATATAGAATTACATTCTCTAAATGGCAGTGAGAGGAAATTAATCCTGCATTAAGAAACTGCATTACACTGTCCAACACACCGGCCAAAATAGATAAATGTCCATAAATAAGCTACTAACCCTCATCTCTGTTTTGACCGGGTTTCTCAG